GTGCTGCACTGTGTGTGTTGTTTCAGAGCAGGATGGGAGCCCACACACATGAACAAGCTGCTGTTAGGACTCAGACTCCCAGGGGGCAGCAGGAGGTCAGAACCAGTTTGTAGATTAGTTTGTTGTCCTGCTTGAACCAGGTCTCCGGTCCATTGGAGGGACGGGGAGGGTAACCCACCGGGCCATGAGCAGAGCAGTCTGAGAGAGGTGTAGTTCAGAGCCGGCTCCACAGAGCAGGAGGGGGAACCATCGGGGGGGTCTGCAGGGAGAACCAGTGAAGAGTTGAGGTCAGGATTACTCCATACAGCACATGTTGGATTACCAAACAGCAAAAAGTATAGTGTATCAGCTGATTGGAGCAACTGAATACTAAAACTTTTCACCTGAATCAAAGTTTCCACCTTTATGAAGTCACTCAGCACTAAAGTGTCACGTACTGCCTCAGTTTGGGTCTTAAGCTTTACCTTCCTGTTACCATTAACCAGTATTTTAATCCTCAAATATTTAAAATTTGGGTGCCCAATATACCACAAGTACAACAGGTAGACAGATTTTACACCCACTGCTGCAATAAAACCAACCAGCTGTACTCACTGTAATGCAGAGCAATGTATTTGTCTTTTTCATTAATAAACATTAATAAAACAAGACGTACTTTCAGCCAAACTGTGAGATGTGAATACAGTGGTTGCAGAAAGAAGAAGAAATCCTTCTTCTTGGGTGCTGGGAATGTATAAATAAATGTCTTTGTGCTGATGGTCAGAGAGGTTTTTGTCCATTTTACTTCAAGGATGATGCTGTTAGTTTTGAGGGTGTCAATCATTTTGGATGTAAGGGCCATAACTTTCTCCTTACAAGTATTCTTGATACATTTTTGACAAACTTCAGTCTTGGACTCCTGAGAAATTATTTCAAATATTTTTTCCTAACATTTACTCCATTTTCCATCTTTTACCACTTATCCATGGAGACAACAAGCCCAGGAGAGAATCCCAGACCTCCCTCTCACCAGAAACCCTCTCCAGCGATACACAATCCTTCCAGAGAGTTCTGGATCTGCCCTAGACCTCCTACCAGTGAGATGTGATGGGAAAGCCTCCAGAGGGAGGGCCGTCCTGATCAGATGAACCTCCTCAGCTGACTCCTTTAGATGAGGAGCAGCATCTCCCCCCGGATGATGGAGTTCCTCATCCTTTAGAAGTTTACTGTCTTGCTGATGTTAGATGTGATCAATTCAATAATGGTTCAGTGTTCGACATTCTTTAGACAATAACGCGGTCAGAGGTCAAAGGTCACACTCACAGTAGACGGTCAGGCTGATGGTCTTCTTGGAGCGGGTGTTGAGGTGAGAGTTTTGTGCCAAACAGGTGTAGTCTCCTGTGTGCGTCCGGAGGATCTTGGCGATGGAGTACTGCGATCCGATGAACACCTGGGAGTTGTTGTAGAACCACACGTACTGACTGGCTGGATTGGACTGAGCTTGACACGCCAACAAAACGGTCTCTGCCTCCAGAACTGAGGACCCAATACGGAGAGGAGTCACATCTACCTGAGGAACATCTGGACCAACTGAGGAAAGAGAACACAACAAGAACCTGCTTTTAAGACAGAATTCAAAAAACGTTCAATACAAAATCAACAGGACTTTATTTGTAACAGAAGATGCTTCGCTCCTCATCCGAGGAGCTTTCTCAGTTCAATTTTTAAGACCGAAGATCATGCTCAGAATGTCGTGTTTTGAAGAAGTCTGAGAAGGACCAACTGAAAAGTGGGGCAGCTCCTGCAGAAACACTTCAGGTGTTTGTCCCTAAAGCTGCAGCGATAAAACTCTTACATCCAGTGCCTCTGTGTTTGTTCTTTACACAAACTAAAACAAACCGTAACATGTATGAAAACTTACACACAACGTTCAGTAACATCCAGTCAGAGCTCTCCGTGTTGATGAAGTTGCTGCTCACGCAGCGGTACAGGCCCGTCAGGCTGCGGTTCACGTTGCTCAGGGTGATGCTGCTGCTGTCGCCTTGAGTGAACGTAAAGACGCCGCCACCGTCAGGTTTATACTGCCACGTGTACTGGACCGGTTTGGTCCCGTTTTCCACGTTGCATTGCATCCATACTGTGGACTTTTCCACTGGAGACGCATCACTCAACAGCAAGGACGGTTTACTGACGAGGACTGGAGAAACAGAAACAGAAGAATGTTCAATGCACATGATGTTCTGTTCAATTTTGTAAAATTTATATCATAATCCTGTCATTTTATATGATCAAATGTTTCATACATAACTTGGTGCTACTCTACGTTGCTACTCTACGTTTCTTTAAATGAGTAAAAAAAAAAAAAAAAATTGTTGGTCTGTTTAAGTGATATTTTCATGTTTAATCAGAACCAGACCATTTGTTTTCATCGTCTTATTGTAATTTTATTTCAAATTCTACTCATGTAAGATAAGTCATCTACAAATTAGAGTTCGGTGTATGAAAAATATCAAATATTCCTAATTATGTAATTTTTGTTCAGAATAATGTTTTTTGTGCAATAATTTGTACTGTTTTAAAACAGAAAATCAAAAATTCAATCAAAATTACATTCAATGTTTATAGAGTTGTAAAAATAAAAATCAGATGGTACCACCTTATAGATGCCTAATAAAATAGTTTATAGATATATTATTATTTCTTTTATAAACACTTTATAAATCATTAATAGTTGTTTATTATGCATTAATTAAGGGTGACAGAGACAAAACTGACCAGTTTCTTGCCAAATAGTGAGCCAAATCTGCCACCTACAAAGTTACTTTGTAAGTACAATAAGCATTTGCAAACCTAATTTTTTTAATCATTTATTATTTTACTTTATCACTGCTTTATAAATATCTACAACTAATATTGTATCCTAAAAAAATAGGTTTACAAATGCTTATTGTGCTTACAAGGTATGAAATGTATAATATAACAATTCTAGATGAAATATATAGGTGAACAGATTTGGCTCATTATTTGGCAAAAAACTGGTCCGTTTAGTTCTTCTGTCACCCTTAATTAACGCATAATAAACAATTAATAATAATTTATTAAGTGTTTATTGAAGAATTAATAACATATCTATAAACTATTTATTAGCATCTATATGGGGAGCCTTATGTAAAGTGGTACCAAACAATTATTATTATTTTTTTGTGCTTTGTTGGGAAACAAAACAAGAAAAGATAAACTCCTAGAAGCGGTAGCTCATGTCTCTAAACATTTGTCAAAATAATGAGAAAAATATTTGTTTTATTCACTTAAAACCACCGACAGAGTTTCTGGTTTGAGCTGTTAAAAACATAATTAATGCGCAGATAAATAATGAAAAAAATAATAAAAATGTATCTTTTTTTTATATTTGCTGTTAAATTTGGCTTCATACAGTCACCCAGTCCTCTTACAGATACATGACTGTACTGTAACAGAAACACCCAGGGCCTCCACAAGTGTATGCAGTAATAAATCAATTTATTCATTAAAAAAAAAATCATTAATTTTATATATTTGTTACAGTGTGATTGTGAGCGCTGACCCAGTGTGAGGCTGCAGGTCTTAGTTTGGCTCATCAGCGGATGTTTAGCAGAGCACATGTAAGACTTCCCAAAATAAAAAGTGCCGTATCGGAGGGTCAGGATGTTGGCGCTTTCTTCACCAGCTTTGCCCTGACCTCCCGGTCCCTCCCACCACACCCAGGCCTTCGGGGCCCCTCCACCCCAGGAGCAAGACAGCGTCAGGTTCTGTTTGTCGCCGGACACGTTGGCGAAACACACCGGCTCTGCAGGAGGGAGATCTGGTGCAGGAGAAGGACAGTAATCATCGTTAGGTCCCATTTCTCTCAGTTCCACGCTCTTGTTCACCTCTCTGTACTCACATGTGTGTGTGCTGCACTGTGTGTGTTGGGTCAGAGCAGGATGGGAGCCCACACATGTAAACAAGCTGCTGTTAGGACCTCCAGCGGGCAACAGGACGTCAGTACTCATCAGATCTGTCTGCTGTCCTTGTCCTGCTTGGATCAGGTCTCCGGTCCATTGGAGGGACGGGGAGGGGAACCCACCGGGCCAGGAGCAGAGCACTCTGAGAGAGGTGTAGTTCAGAGCCGGCTCCACAGAACAGGAAGGGGAACCATCGGGGGCGTCTACAGGGAGAACATTACACAAATGAGGCAGTGATTAAAAAAAAGGAGGGACTGGAGGTCATCAGTCAAAGGTTCTGCCTACGGTGTGCTGCATCTTAAATATTTATGTTTTCATGGATCCTGGAAATGATCAATCATCTGTAGGAAATTACAAAAATAAATTTTCCTCTTCTAGATCAGACTTCTACCATCATTGAGGTCTAAACATCCCAACAACTCCTGGAGGACAGGACTCAGATCTCAAACAGCTCTTATGTGTGACATGCTTTACTGTGAGACAAACTCTGAAGCACCTTTAAAGGGAAAATCTGGTCATTTTGAAGAGATGTTCTATCAAATACTAATCAACAGTTAGACATCAGTCATAGATCACTGAGTGTGGAGAAAGAGACAAGTTTTTGTTTACGCTAGGCTAATGGCTAACCAAATGAGAAACTTTAAAAATAATAATTTTTCAGGCTTTCAAACAACTAATTCACACAAACTAAATAACAATATAACAGACACTTCAGGTCTAATGACTTGGACAGTTTGCTGTACATTTATTAAAACAACTTTAAGAAAGAAACCCTATAAACAGCTGTAAACTCAACCAGTCTAATATTTTAACAAAACCTGTGAGTCGCATTAATCAAACGTGTTACTTTATCCTCATCATCCTTAAAGATTAATTTTTACTTTTAGATTTGGAAGGTCTTCCATAGAGCACCTCGATGTACCATATGAACCACTAGAGGGAACTCTGGTCACATGACCTTATGAATATGCCATTCCAAAACAAGCAAACATCTGCACTTGGCGTTTTGATAGATATTGGCTGAACAGCCCAGAGTAAGCACTGACAATGTCAATAATAATAATAATAATAAACAATATTAGACTGTATATAAAAATGTCAGGAAGCTGTGTGTTCTATGGAGAAGAGAAAAGGGAAAACGTGTCTCCTTTCACAAGTCAGCAGATCTGATCTTATTCACCTCAGTGTAAATGTGATCCGACCAGAACAGAATCTAATAATGGACCCGTTTAAATGTAGCGTATAAATCCAATGTGGCTTAATTATTGAATTGGATCGTAGATAATAACATCTGTGGCAGAAACTGCTAAGCTGTGGAGCTTGAATCATGCTACAGTTTAGAATGATTGAGTATTACAAGCTGCTGTTGCCTCCGGTTGTTCTAATATTTACACAATGTAAAATAATATATTATATTTGGCTTTTGTAGGTTTCCATAAGGCAAACCAGACGTACTAATTAACCAGTATCAGTAGAGACTAGTTTCATCCCATAAATCACCATTGTGTATGCAGTGAACTTTTTCTAAGTGACAACTACAGAACAGTTATATAATAATAAATATACTTTATTCTTTATGCACTACCTGAGTTGTGCACTAAACCAGTTTTGTCGGCTGTGAGCAGTTAAATGTTTTGGACGCCATCTTAACTTCTCCATGATTTCGCAATGTAAATGACAGCGAGATGGGCGGTGCACCCTCTTTTTGTTTTATATAACTCTATAAGTGCTGTAATAAACACAGCACACAGCAAATAAAAGAAGCTGACAGGAGAAACTGTTAAATTATGGAAACGGTCTTATTTGTTGACAAAACTGTTTATCTTTCTGCACAAACGTTAAACTCTGAGGCAATAATCAATTATTAATGAAGTTACATAAGATTCAAATTGAATCAAAATCACAGTTGAACATCTCGATCCATGACACACACACACACTACACTCAGAGGTTTAAAAAAGGAACAGGTTGGTTGATGATGCGGCCTGAGGTCAAAGGTCACACTCACAGTAGACGGTCAGGCTGATGGTTGTCCTGGAGCTCGTGTTCAGGTACGAGTTCTGTGCCAAGCAGGTGTAGTTGCCTGTTTGGTTGCGGAGGATTTTGTTGATGGTGAGCTGCGGCCCACCGTGGATCTGTGAGCCGTTGTAGAACCAGATGTACTGACCCGGCGGATTGGACCGGGCTTCACAAGACAAAGAGAGGGTGTCTGTCTCCAGAATGGAGTTTCCACGAT